AAATTTAAATGCCTTGTCTATAAACACTTTTTTCGACCTAAATTTTCACCTGTTTTGTCCCGAAATGATAGCACCCATTCTTTATTTGCCTATATATCGCGAAGGAGGCAACTTTTTTCCTGTTAAGTATAGATAAAAAATTTAATTCGGCGTTTTAGCGCACGAGGAACAAAAGTCTCCATACAAGCTACCCTCGGTTTCTAATGACTTTTTGAGTTAGGGAAGCGTGGATCTTCTTTTTTTCTTGTTTCCAGGACTTCACATGAACTTCCAACTCAACTCGAATTGTCATCCCGGGCCCACCACGCATCGAAACGACACTTTTCTCGGAACTGGCGAATAAAAAATAGGTCACCAGATGCGCAAGAGTCTGGGATGACAGAATATCAAAACAATAACAGAATCGTTAGTACTTTTTTTGTCACCAGCGCCCTTTTTCTGTTTTCGCGTACATAATCGAGCATAACTTTATCAATTTATGCCATATCGACCGATATCGATTGTCACGATAGTGTACTTTTTTTAGGCGCACATGATGGTAAAAAGAACGGCCACCTATTCCCAGCCGTTCTTAAGTTATGCTCTTTTAAAGATTTTACTTTAGAGATGACACACCCTCTCATTTCACTCCATTACATGCTCTTTTTGCTGAATTACGTGGCACAGACGCAGAAAATCATGGTTCGCAAGTCGAACATTTTTGAAGAGCGCATCGAAACGGACATTTTCTTAAAATAACATGGTATACAAAAAGTGCGTTCTTGAGCCTGTAGCAAACGATTTGCATCCATGACATCCCAAAAACTTAAAATAACATATCTCGACTCCTAGAATGAAATCGACGTGGATCCTTAGGGCAGTTAGTGTGTTTTAGTATCATACTTAACACCACAAAGTTTTACGGGGCACTCTACAATACTCTTCCCAAGACGCAAGAAAATGTTCATTTTGGGGGGTCCTCTAACGCGAACTTAATGATAAAATACCGCACTTAGTCCATAAAATACGAACTTAGGCACTATTCGCACTTAGTAAAATAACTTCTCGCACTTAGAACGGGTAATTTATGTAAATTACTTTATGGGTGACTGCTGGGCTCTAACAAAACTGAAAGATACTGACTAGCTGCTGGCGCGGCGGTTACTTTTCCAGCTATAAATAGATGTTAAACGAGTAGTCTGTAACTGTCAGCAGTACTCAATTCCCGTCAATCTGCTGTAGATTAACGGGAATTATTGTTAAGACGACGTAAACAAAAGCGAGTATCTTTCTTGTGACGGTTTCCTAGTATATGTGAGGTGACAAGTCGGTTACTGAGTGTAATTTTGGAAATGGCGTGTGGGTTTCTAAGAATATATTTGGTTTTTGAGGCGTTACTTTGCTGTTTAGGGTGATTTCTCGGTCTTATTCTAGGATAAGATTGAGTGAACTCTGGCGATTTATGGTTTTTTAGATGTGTCTTTGTAGGAATAGTTCTGCTGTTTCTAAGACGTGTCTTTAAGACAAACCTTTAAAAATCGTGCGTTATTATTGCTTTGGGGAAACTTAGAGCGGTTATTTCGTGCGTGCAGAAATTGAGGTTGTACTCGTATGCTCTGCATAAGAATATAGCTTTATTTGACGCATTTTATGCGTTGCTCTGGGTATTTTGCGCTGAAGCGATGTGGAATTGCTGACGAGTGTGTGCTTTCGGGATAGTGACCTGACTGTGTGTGCTTGGATGCGAGGAAGCGTTTGCTGACGTTGCGAGGTGCTACATCAACGCTCTGTCGGTGCCGGTGCGAAGGTGTGTTGCGGTTGGTTGTATAGTGTTTTGTGCAGTTTTCGGATTGTGTGTCATTATGCGATACCTTCTGTGGTGCGTTTTGCGCTGGATTTTTCCGGTGGAAAGTTCAATTTCGGGTAGAACCGTTTTTGATCTGGGGCTAGTTATGCGGCGTGCGGAGGGGACTACAACCCAAAGTATGCTGCGTCGTGCTCTATTATTCGCTTCTTGATCTACCTATTTTTAGGTGGAACTGTTGAAGTGAGGATCATATTTTTGTCTTTCTGTGCAAAAAGATTCTCGGCTATTAATGGCGGCTTTGAGAAAAGCTGCGAGTGGCCTAGCGACTGTTTCGGCGGTTGCGGGGCTGTTTGCGGCTGGCCTCTGTGTTGTTGTTTTGTGCTGGGGGCGACTTGTCGTCTTCTTTAGTATGGAGGATATAAACCTGGTTGATCCTGCCAGTAGTCATACGCTTGTCTCAAAGATTAAGCCATGCATGTCTAAGTATAAACAATTTTGTACTGTGAAACTGCGAATGGCTCATTATATCAGTTATAGTCTACTCGATAGTACCTTACTACTTGGATACCCGTAGTAATTCTAGAGCTAATACATGCATCAATACCCAACTGCTTGTCGGGCGGGTAGCATTTATTAGATTGAAACCAATGCAGTCTTCGGGCTGGTATTGTGTTGAGTCATAATAACTGTGCGGATCGCGCTTTTGCGCGATAAATCGA